CTGTATTTGTGGGGCGCGGATAATTTTGCACAGTACTTATTTTTGCAGGATCAGGCATTATGCCCTCACTTGAAATAACATGTCCTAAATACAGAATTTCTTTCCTTAGAAAATCACATTTTGCTGGATTTAGTTTTAAGTTAACAGCCCTTAACCGTTCAAATATATCTTGCAAATTCTTGTTATGAACTGTCAAATTTCGGCCAAACACAATCAAATCGTCCAAGTATATTAAACACTTTTCATTATTTAGACCAGCCATTGCCATCGTTATCATTCTTGAAAAAGAACTTGGACTAGTTTTCAGTCCCATCGGCATACGCGTCATCTGGTATTGTCCTGAATAAAAAGCTGTGAATTTTCTGCTATTTTCATCTAACTTTACATTGTAATAACCCTGATGTAAATCTAAATGCGTAAAATAAATACTACCCGTCAATGATTCTAAAATTTCGGTGATATCTGGTAATGGAAACTTATCGTCCTCTATACAATTGTTCAGCTTCCGATAGTCAACCACTAATCGCCATTTTTTATCTTCCGTTGTATCTGACTTTTTGGGTACTAATAGTATCGGACTTGACCAATCGCTTTTGCTAGGCTCAATTATACCTTCTTCTAACATTTTATTAATTTGGCGTTTAACTTCATCTTTTTGAGAATATGGCAAACGATATTGTTTTGAAAATACTGGATTTGTGTTAGGCTTTACAGAAATAGTATGAGTATATATATCTGTTGTAGTTAACTGATCTCCTGGAAGGTAGAATATATCTGAATACTTTGCGCAAATGTTTTCAATAGTTTTCTGTTCCTCATCATTTAAATGTTTCAATTTCATTAATGAAAATAACTTTTTTACTCTATCAGCTTTTTTTGTGTTTTATCGAATACGCAAACATTAAACTTACTAAGTTTCTCAATAGTAGGCTCTATTTCTGTAAGTGTTAAGTCATTTTCAGTTACATTTAATATCCGAATAGGTATTAATCCGTTTTGAGGACTACCTATAGAGCTTGCTAAAAACACTCCATCTCTCAATTCTTTTGATGACACTACACAATCTTCATCGATGTTCGTATGTACAAAATGTATTGACTCACTTCTAGCAGGAATGTCAAAAGTAACACTATGTTTATTTATCAAAGGCAAAGAAAAAGTTGAAATGTTATTATGTAATGTTAAAATATTTTTATGAAAATCTAATTGAGCTTTAAACTTGCTTAAGAAATCACGGCCTAATATTCCACTTCCCTTAATGGGCAAGCTATTAAAAACATAAAACTTCTGACTAATTGTTTCATCATTCAAGAAGAATGATAAATATAGGTATCCGATTGCTTGTACTTTGCCACCTAAACCGTTTATTGTTACAGTCTCTTTATGGATAGGAATGTTACATTCTAGAGCATGTTTATACGTACATGCTGACAACGATGCTCCAGAGTCTACTAAAAAATAATGTTTCTTATTACGATATGATGGCGAATGCAAATAAATGTAACAATTACTATCACTAGATAAAATAACTTTTTCACCGTTATTCACGAAAAAACTGATTAGATGTTACTTCTGATTCTCCCGCTGTTTCCGAATTTTGCATTAAATTAACGTTGCGTTCTTTACGCATCCCTTGATTTCCTCTGTTTGAATTATAAAATTTACCTCTATATTGTTTGCGACCGGTAGTTCCTCCTCGAGTCCACTGTCCTCGAGAATCAAAGTGGGCTCCATGCTGCGCTCCTCGGCCTCGTCCTCTGTACGAATAAAAGTTACTGCGACCTCCACGCTGGCCTCTACCTCTATAATTATTTGAATGGTTCCTGTTATAAAAATTATTATAAGGCTGTTTGTACATACCCATAACTTCTCCAGAAGGTGCACCTATGGTGACTTCCTCGTCTTGTGCAGCCTGGACAGCATCTTTAAGCGAGCTGTAATTTCTAGCAGATATAATCGTACTTAATCTACGATTCCGCAACCCACTGGCAAACTGCTTAATTGCCATTTGTTCGTTTATTGGTTTTAATATATTATAGCATTGATCATTGCCATCGGCTTGCGCAATCGTCAGATCTACAAATAATTCTGTAATGTCCTTCCCGTAATCCGCAATTGAACTTTCATTTTGTTTAATTTTTTGCAACTTATTTTGTATTGCCGTTGCAGCTTTCTTACATAATAACACACTTCTCATATCATTTATTAACTCGTCTACAGTATCATATTTCGCTTTTAACTTTATCTTAGCTTCTTGAGAAAGTCTACTTTTCAGCACGAAGTTTATTAAGTTTTGTTTACAAGAATTTTCTTTTAAAATAGAATTATAATAGACTATATTATCAATCAATTGCTTCGTATTAGACTCCTCATTTGTCATAACAGGTAAAAGGCTCAAGGCAATTTTTAAATCAAATGAACTCATCTTCGAAAAATAATCTGATTTATCACTCTGACACAACAATAAACTATCCTCATATAAAGCTAAAAATTCACGACAATGATTCTGTATTAATAAAATATCTTGGCTACTATAATATTTATTCTTAACTTTATCATTAAAATCAATTAACCAAGTCTCATACTGTTGATAAATAGCATCAACTTCAATTACCTTCTTTTCCAATACTCTCTCTGTCCTTCGTTTCGGTCCTAACTTTATTAAATTTATTCTTATTTTCTTTAAATCATTATATAATGTCAAAATTATATCCATTAGGTACTTAACACCACAACTATTTCTAACTATACTAACTTAACTATTCATGTTAACTATTCATATTATAACATTAGTATTAAGTTTTATAATTAAGTACGAATGCAAACAAACGCAATTAATACCATAGTCCAAAGTTCAATTCACGTTCAGTCCGTATTTGGTAAGGCACTGCATTGTTTTAAAACTAAGATATTACGCAACTCGATTGATATAATATTTGCATATGATTATTGAAACGATTAAAACCGATTTATACTTTTCCGCACCAATACTTTTTAAGCACTTTTTTTTTTTATTTTTCACTTATGGCACTTTTTTTTACACACTTTTATGTTTCACACCATATCTTCTGAAAATGTTTTAGCCGTGTTCTCGTTGACCCCCGACTGCAAACGACGACGAAGAAAAGATCTCCTCATCATAGTGATCCGATTGATCTCATTTGTTATCCATCGTACATGGCATCTTCTATACAGCCGGTACACGAAGTATATCAGTCCAAGTAGTATAACCAACAGGATAATCGCCAGGAAAATGTTTGTTATAGACATATGAAAACGAATTTCGTCAGTTTTCGCCTCGTTACTGCCTGCAGCGTTTTGGATAACGAAGGTCTCTTCCTTAGATTGTTGTTTTCCCATGGTCGTAGATTATACGTACTCTCACGTCAAGTTCGTAATTACAATAAATCTGCACTAACTCCATTGTTACTAATAATTCGCGGTACTTAGGTGGGTACACAGTACACTCGAACGTCTCAAATTCGCGGCGCGCGTGTTGACCATCCTGGCAGGGGTCGCCATGTAAGGTGCGGTGTTTATATGAAATGAAACCAGTGGATGCCCGAATAATACTGGCCTATATTTGATAGAATAACATATTATAAATGGTTACATTGGTACAAAGACAATACAAGATAGAACTTACAATAGGTATAATATATGCCTCACACCTCCTTCGAATTTTTCAAGATAGAAAGCTAAAAATTGGTATGCGGACTATTTGTGGCAAAAATAGTCCGCAACCACTTTTCTTTAAAAGAGCGCGAGCAAAGCCGTGGTCAGAAGCTAGTCCATGAATAAAATATATTGAATTAATTTAACATAACATAACATCACGCCTTTTATCCTCGAAGGGGTAGGCAGAGGTGCACATTATACCACTGTACAATGTAACACCCACTTTTCACTATTTATGTTATGAGTCCCATGTAATAGGGGGTGAGCCTATTGCCATATACCGGGCACAAGAATTAATTTAAATTCGTATTTTTTTAAATCCCAGATCCCTGATGCATCTAAGATAAAAATTCAACATTCTGTAAGTTTCACTTAATTGTATGTTTTATAAATGTGTCATAAGAGCGGGAACGAAGATTAGGAGGATTTCTTGACAACTAACTGAAATATTTGGAATCTTCGGAGTTCTATCAAACCACTAATTACACAAGATAAGTCCTTGAAAATCCACAGTATTTAGTTGCATGTCTGGGCCTGATTTACTATGGAGTTTGTCGGTGTATTTTACGCATTTACGTAGTCCGCTAGGTGACGTTCATTAATAATATGAATTGGTCGCGGACAACATGTGCGTCGGTCGCGCGTCTAAATATACGCGCGTGACGTCACTCGGCCCGCGTCAGTACAGCGCGCTGTACTGCACTACTGCAGGGTCGGGGCACTGCAAGTCGACACGGAGCAGTCCCGGGCTCGTACAAAGCGCGTCCCTATAAGGAAGTCGAATGATAGTTGGCAGTGCCGGGCGGGTCGCGGCGGCATCGCGGCTATTTCTGAATCTATGAAAATATTCGTGTCCCATCTTGTTGGCACTCGAGTTGCGTAGAGGCGTAAGACTCGTGTGAAACTCGTTCGAATATAGATCTAGTAACAAATGCCAGAACGTTTAATTACGTTTGTATGGGCGCCCTCGCCAGGTTTATATCGTAATGAAATGAAATACAGTGTGCTCGCGATGCGGGCTTAGTTTCCCGGTGAGCACTTCCGCGAGCGAGCGTCGCCACTACTGATTACACCGCGACCGCGCACTGACACCATTCTGACCGCGCACTGACCGCGCACTGACCGCGCACTGACCGGTGACTATACGGTGATCGCGGAGTGACCGCACAGTATCACATATTGGTGACTATCATAGGCCTGTATTACCTGAACTATTAAGGGTTCTAAAAGTTGTATTATAGTTGGTGGTGATACGTATGTAAATAGTATTATTTATGCATGTTACCTATCTATTATGTGGCTGTAGTCATATGTAATGTCTGTTACGAGCGGGTAATGTAAACTAAATGTTGAGAGTAATGTTGTATTGTTACCTCTTTGTTAGATTGAATATTTAGGACAAGATAAGGAAGAGATGGAAATTCAATGTCGAGTGTGGAGTCGCACGTGTGTTGTACTGCCCCACTCTCGGAATATATGAAAGTGAAGGACGGTGTGCATCTGTAGAAGTACTTTACAGTGTAACGTGTTGGTGTACAGGCTCGCGAGGAGGAACTGGCGAGCAAGCTGCGGGACATGGAGGTGCTGCGCCAGGCGGGGGCGCTGCCCGCAGGCGGGGCGGACCTACAGGCCGAGCTGCAGCAGGCGCGGGCCAGTCTGCAGGAGCACGGCCGCTACCTCGACAGCAAGCTGCTCGCGCTCAGCAAGTACTGCGCGCGCCTGGACGCCGCGCTGGCCTGGGCCGCCGACCTCGCCGCGCGCCGCGCCGCCGGGGCGCCCGCCGCCGACATCGCCGTGAGTACCCGCAGCCCGCAGCGCGCCGCGCGCCGGGCGGACTGTGACGGCCAGTGTTGCAGGCGGCGGCGGCCGAGCGCGAGCACGACGTGCGCGAGGTGCTGGAGAACTACACCAACCTGGAGCGCCAGTGCGCCGCCGCGCGCCAGAGCGTGGCGCCCGACGTGCGCGAGCCCGCGCTGCGTCTGCGCGACCTGTGGCAGGAGCTGCGCGCGCAGCCCGCGCCCGTGGACCCCGCGACGGCGGACCCCGCGCCCGCGGACCCCGCGCCCGCGGACCCCGCGCCCGCGGACCCCGCGCCCGCGGACCCGCGCCCGCGCCCCCCGCGCCCTCGCCCCCGGAGCGGCGCAGCTCGGGCGACAGCGTGCACAGCGGTGAGTGTCGCGGCCCGCAATGGGCCCCGCTGGGCCCCGAGCGAGGCCCGCAGTGGGCCCCGCTGGGCCCCGAGCGAGGCCCATCTTGCTACTCCATCGTATGTAGTCGACATAACATCTGCTTCGGTGTCAGTGCTGTACTTACTGATTGGTTGTGGGAAATAAATGATTGGGATACTAACAGCTCGTTTCATTCACTAGTGTGTTCGATGTATTCACTCGACTTTTGTATTTGGGTCGTTTCGTATTATAATACTAACATTTTTACATTTTCTAAACCTTAGCAGTTATCTACAGTCATAGCGCATGCGTCGAACGACAGTCTTCGAAAACATGCCATCGAACAGTTGATGTCATAGATTTAATACGAAACGACTCATGAGCTCCGTTCATATGACAGGAACCTCAATATCTTCCTTGAAGCTGCTTATTGGGGACATCAACGCACGTATAACATGTAATATATTTCTCCTAGAAGGAACTTTGCAACGAAATAAATTCGCCGCACTGTCGCAATGTCCCGTGTTTTTATGAACGGAGCTGTAACGTGTTCCCGTAACATGCGTTGCAACGCGGCTCGACCTGTGTTTGGTAGATAGTAGCTAACATACGACTAACACTGCACGGGTCCCCACTAACGCGCCCTGGTGACTGTAACTCGAGCTAACATTACGTCTTCACTAAGAAATGCCATGTTCCGGCTAATGATACGACACGCAGCGACTACTCCGGAAACTACGAAACTTTACAAAATAAGCATTCGTTATTTAGTGATGCCTCTGTATTGTGATAAATGCGCGTGTGTATCGCATATACGATAATGTATGTCCCCATGAATGGTGTAATATATGTGAAGTATTTTCGTTAAACACAGTACTTAGATAATGCCTCCGGTAAGTAATTGTCAGTCGGTTCAGTTGCAGCGTCGGCTAGTAAGTAGGTCGGCTGCGAGAGACACGGCCTACTTTACTGAAAGCCGCGCCAACACGAAAAAACTGGAATAACAAACAATAGGCCGCGCAGCATTGTCCCGGCCGGCGCGGGGACGCACTAATCAGCGCCCGTGCTCTACACCCTCGACGGTTTCTTAAGGAATCACAACCCTCAGAGGGTTCCATTACTATTTCACAAAACCGCCACATTAATATGAAGAAGCCTGCAATGGTAGTGCGTACCGCGCTACGTTGTGACCATAGGCAGGCCGATGACTTTAGGCGCTCACCGAACTATTAAAAATAATAACATCTAGTTTCAAATGAATCTTTATACTAGGCATTGGGTAGGAAGTGGGAACATCCCTCACATAAGTATATCTGTATATTTAGTATTCGCCTACTTAGATGTATAAGTATTGATGTGTCCAAATGCGTCGGCTCCGAGTCCCCGCAGCCGAGATGCCGTGGAGTCAGTACGCAGTGCGGCGGGCGGCGGGTACCTACAGACTACTGCTTATTCATCATCTACCGAAATTGTTTGAGATTTCGAGTTCCATACCGGTGGACCTGAAAATCCTCGTTTTAAGTTGTTTTTACTCCATTAATCTTTATATATATATAATTCTGCTGTACGTGTGGATGCCATTGAACTCCTCCAAAACGGCTCGACCGATTTAAATGTTTTTTTCTGTACGCGTTTATGTGGCGCCCTGGATGGTTTAGATTGGATTAGATTACAAATCAGCCCGGCAGATGGCGCTGCAGTTGCTATCTAGGTTATTTATCCAAAACGGCTGAACTAATTTGAATGGATTTTTGTTTATAAATTCAAATGGATATGCAGGACAACGTCTGTCGGGTCCGCTAGTTAATTAATGAAGAGATTAGGAGGTACACTGGGGCGCCCCAGTGTCAGCGGGTTGTGTCAGCTGTACAGAGCCGGAGTACTCGCTGTACTACTTCACTCGGGGATGAACTATGCTGCAATGTCTTCCTGGTTCGGAACGGGGTATCTTTCATTCCACGCTTTTACTTTTACTTTTAGGTACTAACATTCCTTTCTTTTTCTCTTTGTCTCTGTTCTGTATTTGAAACTGTTGACAGCTTGTGGGTATTGTGGTTTTATTGCGGTGGCGGGTGAGGTAGGTAATGTGTGTTTATATTTTATCTACGTATTGCTATGTATTTTTATGTAAGACTACAAATTGAGTACCAAGTTACGTATAAATCATATTGTACCAACTTGTATACATATATACCTACTTATGATATTGCAATTTAGTTGCTTATCTGTATATTTCTATTCCAGGTAAGTCCTCAAAATCTCGTAGCTCCTCAGTTCTGGTAAGATGTCATCAACTCCCCGCGTGGCCACAAAATATATCAATATACAGCTTTATATTCTGGTCGGAAAAACATCTTGTGTACACTGACTACTAAGCACGTTTAACGAGGGATGTTTTATTAACGAACGAGTCTATAAGAATAGTTAGTAAAAACGTGAAGTCGCAATACAGATATATCCGTCGACTGGATGTATCAGTGGTAACTGCTAGACGCGGGCATGTCTCCGGGTGAACGTAAAGCCGGTCCGAGCCGCGGACGTCGTGCAGTGGACAGGAGGTGCGCTGCGACCTGCGACACTTCGCCACTAAACATTTGTAATATAATGTGGTGGCTAAGGATTACTTTAAATAATTTATTAATTTTTTTAGAAAGTTAGCAGCTTATCGTTCGAGACATTAAGTTGGACGTTTCTGTCGTTTATGAGAGTGCGCCTTCTGCCGGATGAGCAGTAGTGGTGGCCTCGGCATTGTTCCACAGAACATGCGTTCTTGTCAGGTATCGGTGGATATCCAGCCAAACGTTAAATTAACCACATGCTTAGACGTGCTGCCGCCACTGGGCGCTATGTATGTATGTATGTAGGGAGGTGCGCTAGGTATACAAGGAGACGGTGACTTACTTACCAACAGCAAAAACCGCTACACGTTGCTCTATGTATAGTTTCAAAAGAAAAATGCCTAAACTTTTTAAAGTCGCAATATTTCACCATATAACTTACTTATACATATACATATTATACATATTTGAAAATGTAAATATAGGTACTTATCGCTAAAGTAGCTACGATGCCCAATTAATACTTTCGTCACCTCGCAGAGCGTGTAAATTCAGTGAAAGAAAGCTATGTTCGGTTTGGGAAGATTAATTCTTTAAATTTATGTACTTATCTAAGATAGCGTAGCGTTGAAGTTGTCATGTGCAGAGTACTTATTGATATTGTTAGTGTTATTACTGCAAGCATTCCCGGCTGGCTCAGTAGGGTACTAGTGAGTGATGTAATTATAATGAGACCAGCGGTTGTACCGCTCGATTAGATACCTACGTAGCCACAGATTCTGTCGGTATATTAAACAATAAGTCTCGCAAGCTAAAACCTCCCTGCGGTGTAGCTACGCCGCGCTACGTAATGCTACGCAGTGCTACGCCGCGCTACAGCTGCTACGTGTGTTATGGTACGTTATTTTTAAAACACAATAATGTTGTTTTTAAACGCCCGCGTCAATGTAATAAAGATGTATGTAAATTATCGAATATGTAAAAATTTCCAATGCTCACGGATTTCATATAGTGTGGTTGATTGTTATTTCATAATATACACTCGGCAGTGTATATACGGGCCGGGGCCCGTCCCGGCTATACTCGGCTGCTATTCTTTGATTTTTATATAAACTTTATCCCTGCAGTAACGAACAATATGAAGTGAAATTGTGTAATTTGGTATAGTCCACTCAATCGAGTTTAGTATTTTTATTTGTACATACAGAATATTCTGCATGTAATCTTAAGGAAGAGTTTGGGGGCATTCTGTCCACGGTTGAGTAGGTACAGGTATGCAATTAGCATGGTGAGGAGCAGGGACCGGCCTGAGTGCGGGCGACTGTATCAATTTAAGCTTGGAATTTGGAATGATACTTTTTGTATGAAAACCGGCTATAAGTTGACGCGAAAATGTAGTATTAGAAGGTACAACCAATTAGCCGCACTAATAAACCTCTCTCCTGTCGCTGCAGGTAATGTCGTATGTGTGCGTCTGAGCGTATACATCTTTGGCTAACAACACCGAGTAAACTTCGATTGTTTCTTACCAACTAGAAAGAAAACAACAACACGGTACGATCTCACCTGGAACTGCAATTTCGCCATATTCACGTTGATACAATACGAACTGTCGGTGGCTGTACCTGTACATCCTGTCCACAGCCGAGCACTTTATCTCTCACTCGGCTGCCAGTAAGGGCTGTACTGGTCCGTGTACTCGGTGGCAGTGTACGCACGGCGCGCCACCGAGAATACTTGCAACCGTGAAAAAACATTCGTTTGCTTCGAGCCGAGCGGGCGTCAATGAAACAAGGCGACATTCACTACGCGCCAGGAAAAGTCACGTGAAACAAACATACACCGAGTAAG